CCCTAAAAAGTATTGTTTTTTAACCCCATTTTTGTGATTTTTTCGATTTTTACCATAATAATCATGATTCATTCGATTTGTAACCATGTATTATAAATAATTTAATTACAAACATTTTTTTCCTCTTCCATTTTCGCCTAAAATCAACTCTTAAAAAGATACATAATTAAATAGGAAGAAAAATATGACATTTTTCCAATTTTTTTAACATATTGTGCCGTCAAAAGTTAAGCCCACGTTTCTTTTTATGCGCATAGAAAAATTTTCATTTCTAGTGATATTTGAAAGGCAAAAAGCCAAAAATCTCCGTGGATATACGATTCACCCAAGCCAAAACAGATACCGCCTGGTCTAGTAGTATTCTACCCACTTGGACAGTGTACAGAAAGTGTTCATTGCATTTTATAGAAAGTGTCATTTCAGAAAGCATAAATTGTTTTCTAGAAAACATAATTTGTATTCCAGAAAACATGAAATGTATTTCAGACATTTATTAATTTTTAATTTCGTAGTTATCAATTCTACATACATGCATATCTATTATGAATGTATCATATTGCTAGATGAAATAACTCCAGATGAAATAACGAAAATCATTTTATTATTTGTCATCATTATTGAGAATGAATTGTTTTAATTATTCTGTTGTAACTGATACATTATCATTTTTTTAAAATTAACTGAATATTTCTACCTGAAAATATTTTCTTTTATTATAATATAGGCCCAATATTTTTTAGGTCTAACAGTAAATATATCTATAATACGTAGAAGCTCAATTTGCATTACTATTCTGATATATAATTATTGACTCTTTCTGAAATATACCTAGGAAAGGGTAGTAAAAATTGATTTTCACAGCACCGACTTCAGTTAAGCTAGATAGCTATAACAGGATATATTTAAAATTGCATTATCTATGATCTGTCCAATGAAAATGTTATAATTTTATACATGAATCATGAATTGGTAGAAAGAACTAAGAAATACCTCATATAAAGCTGTTTATGCTTTCACAAATATAGGAAAAACTAATGGTTTGACCATCTAGCACTTTTGCTGTATCTTGGTAACAAATATGAGGCAAATTGAACATGTTAATATAAATTTTAAAGAAATATGGGAAAAATTTTACCACTGTGGTTATGTATGATGTACACATTTTTTAAGGTGTTCCATCCCTCAGTAAAACCTTATGTTCATAGAAAGTTTATTGGTGGGGATAACAATTGTAAGGATAGGATGACAAACATTTTTATGAAAATATTTCAGTATTACTTTGACACACTGTGTAAAACATTGGTTCTCAAAATTAAATTGTGACTCCTTCTGAGATCAGATCTTTGCTTTAATAAGTACGTTACATACAAATATATACAGTATGTCGTATATGTTGATATTCCTGTTTTCGACATGTTTTGCTTTTGTTTTATTCGAATTAAGAAATTGTCAACAACACAGTTGTCTGAGAATACAGGCATATATAAACATAAGGGTGAATTTGTAACTACCTCATTTTACAACAGATCAAGTTTGTTCAATTTGAAATATTTTTGAATAATTTCCAGAAGAAACTTGACGATTATAAAAGATGGGTACTAATCCAGTTTTGGAAAGTTGTATTTAAATGGCCTAAAAGTAAATTAAAGGCAATTCTCAGTTCAGATCACTTTGAATTAAAGGAAAGCAATGGTGGCCTTAGGTAACAAAAAATGTTTTAACATTTTTGAAGCTATTTGCATTGTGACATATTGAGCAAAATTATTTTATCTTGATGACTTATCAAAGTGAAACTGAGAAATAACCTAGAATTGGAAAACGATAGAATTATGTATTTCAAACAGAGAACTTGAAGATTTAAGAAATTAGGTTATGAAAAATAAACACATATTTTTGTAATGATTAATTTTTTAAAACGTAAAATAAATTATTGTTTATATCTTTTGGAAAACCTTTAGCGGCCCCCTGCAACTTCTTCCGCAATCCCTCAAGGGGTCACGAGTTACACTTTGGGAATCATAGGTCTAATAAAATATTTAACCGTTTTCTTATTTCACAAACATAACCGAACTTTTTCTTATTTTAAAAAAAAAGCTAGAGTTTAACAGTTCTTAGTAACACGGCCACACTGTATAGATGATCCTTTTATGCGTACATATTACATGAGGTCAGTGGTTCTCAACAAATTTTCTGTTAAAAAATCGTGCACGTGTATTTAAAATTTAACTTTTTTTAACTTCAATTTTTCCAGAAAAACTTAATTATGCAGGCTGTTACAAATTTGCTTCTTACTACAGGGACCTCGGAAACGGTAAGAGATACAAACTAGCTTAAATGGGGGCAAAGTTGCGTAATCAGGGGACCAACATTATGCCTCGAAAAAATCAAGGCTAACATGATCAGATTTTGAAATATTTGAAAAAAAAACGAATTTTGGAAATCTGTTTTTGTTTCATTTCAGCTGTTTGAGGTGATATTGAAAAAAGAAGAACACCCTCATAAAAAAATTTTGCCCTCTTTCGAATGGCATAGTCGATTATTATATATAACATTTCGTCTCTCCAGGACCATCACAACTTCATTTTTTTAAATACAACGATAATTTTATTACATGTTTTGCAAGTCTTCATGACCTCCTACCTCCTATATTGTATTGCCTCAGCCCGAACCAGATTCAGACGTTTTTTCTGGAAAAATTAATCTTCAATGTATCCGTTCCAACTTTATCTAATTTTTTTATTTAGATTTCTGTGTTTATTGAATTATCATACACTCGAAGTGTTGTTAGACCCTGTGAAATCCACCTAGTTATTTAAACTATTACCTGGTCATACAAAACTCGATAAGTTATTGCGTCAAAATTAAAACAATTTTAATTTTATTATCACAAATTAATTCTTAAAAATGTATATGACCACCCAAGACTTCAAATGAATATTATACTTTAAAAAATTACAGTTAATGTTCAAAAACATTTTCGTTTTCTTCTACACAAAAATCTATCCATTTCGCAATATTTTGTAC